AAGTGGTAATCCTACCTTATAGGGTCCTAGTGTCTAACATATGGGTAAATACCATTCCATAGTGGCTATTATAATTTTCTGGGGGACCCTGAAACCTCTTTACAGCGGGCTCCTAACATTCAGGCTCTCCTCTTGATCATGCTGATGATTTTAGATATGGCATATTGGTCTGAGCAGCTTTGTCTGGTGTGGCTTCATTACGGAATTCTGCCTCTTCCAGCTGTGCCAGTTTCTTGTTGCTGAGAAACAATCTGTTTCAAATTTAGTGGCATAAACAATTTTATCTTGATATCCATGGATTTTTTTGGGGGGGGCGTGCGGGTGAGGAATTTGGGCCAAGCACAGCAAGGATGGCTTATCTTTGCTCTGTGATATCTTTTTATTTTTTTTAAATAAATCTTTATTGTTTAGATTATTACAATTGTTTCTCCTTCTTCCCTCCACCTGGTCCCCACTTCACCCTCTGCCCTTACCTCCCCCTGCTGTCCTCATCCATAGGTATATGATTTTTGTCCAGTCTCTTCCCATACCCTCCACACACAGACACAGACACCCTTTTCCTCCTGAGAATTATCAGTCCCCTCCCATTCTATACCCCTTATTCTATTATATTCACCAGTTTATTTTGTTTCTCAAATATTAATTCACTTGACTTTTAGATTCACTTGTTGATAGATATGTATTTGTTGTTCATAATTTTTATCTTTACTTTTTTCTTCTTTTTCCTCTTTTTAAAAAAAATATATTTTATTGATTTTTTACAGAGAGGAGGAGAGAGGGATAGAGAGCTAGAAACGTTGATGAGAGAGAAACATCAACCAGCTGCCTCTTGCACACCCCCTACCAGGGATGTGCCCGCAACCAATGTACATGCCCTTGACCGGAATCAAACCTGGGACCTTTCAGTCCGCAGACTGACGCTCTACCACTGAGCCAAACTGGTTTCGGCTTTTTCCTCTTTTTAAAGAATACCTTTTAGCATTTCATACAATACTGGTTTGGTGGTGATGAACTCGTTTAGTTTTATCTTGGTGGCGGGGGTGTTCGGGGAAGCATTCATGAGGGAAGACCGAGGGTTGGGATTACCTGGAGGCTTCCTGACTCTTCTCTGGAGCCAGGGCGGGATGACTTGAAGACTTACCCAGTGGGAGCTGCCAGCCAGGCACTGAAATGTGATCTCTGTGTCTCCTGGATCTCCTCACAGCATGGTAGCTGAGAGCGTTCCAAGAGAACGCGGCCCTTCCTGAGCTAGCCTCAGACGTTGCAGAGTCGTTTTCGCCATGCTCCCCTGGGAGAAGCCATCAGAAGCCCACCTAGATTCAAGCAGTGGGAGTAGAAGGAACCAAGACCCACTTGTCCATGGAGAGGCATGTTCAGCCAGTTTTATAAATTTAAGGGATTGAGGCTCCTTCCTGTCTAGGGATATGTCAGGGCTTCTAACTTGTACATACAGCAAAGCAGGCCACACGGTCTCTACTGCAACTACTTACCTCTGCGTTGTATAATGGAAGTAACCATAAGCAATAGGTAAACAAATGGATGTGCTTTCATAAAACTTTACTTACAAACATTGGAATTTTTGAATTTCAAATAGTTACACAGCGTAAAATGCCTTTCCTTTTTAAAGACATTTAAAAATGTAAGTCATTCGCCCAGCCAGCATGGCTCAGTGGTTGAGCATCGACCTATGAACCAGAAGGTCACAGTGTAATTCCTGTTCAGGTCATATGCCCAGGTTGTGGGCTCGATCCCCACTGCAGGGCATGCAGGAAGGCAGCCAATTAATGATTCTCTTTCATCATTGATGTTTCTATCTCTCTTTTCCTCTCCCTTCCTCTCTGAAATCAATAAAAATATATTTATAAGTAAATAATAAATAAGTCTGCAAGTCATTCTTAGCTCCTAAAGCTGACTTTTTAGCTAGATCTGACTTTTTTAAATTAGAATTTTCCAAATGTGTAGAAGAAACACGTGGATATTTTTCATATGATTGTGAATGTTTCTATGTATATGAGGGAAGGAAATGATTGTCAATTTCATTGTCCTTTTAGAAATGAATCTGAGAAGATATTTGGAATGGCAGGTATTTCAAGAATACCTTATTTTTAATGATAGATTACAGTCTTGATACTTATAGGTGGAAAATTCATGACATTTATTTCAGAACATAGAAAAGAGAACTTCATCTTGGAGTTTCCAGAAATATATATTATTGTATGTTTTTTAAGTAAGCACTCCATATTTTTAAAGAGGTCCATTGATCCTTAGACCAAAAAGATAAGGGTGATGAGGACTCTTTGGGGTCAGATATTTTTTACCTTTATTAATTTATTAAATTTTTTTGTCTGACTATACCACCAGGCAGTGTATTAAATGCTGAAGATAAAGAAATGAACAAGATATATACGCTGAGTGGCCAAATTATTATGATCTCTGAACTCAGTGTATATCCTATATAATCAAAGGCTAATATACAAATTGTCCCCTTGACCAGGAGTTCAACCATCAGTCAAGCCTGCAAACCACCCATGTCCCCTCCCCCTGGCCAGGCTGGCCGGACCCCACCCACACACAAATTCATACACTGGGCCTCTAATACACACAAACACACACACACACACACACACACACACACACACACTCAGTATGTGTGTATATATAATCAAGTGGGTTCCTCAGCCTGGCCTGCTACCCCCTTGCAGTCCAGGAGCCCTCGGGGGATGTCTGATTGATGGCTTAGGCCTGTTCCTAAGCAGGCAGTTGGACATCCTTAGCGCTGCTGCAGAGGTGGGAGATGATCCCGCCACTGCCACTGTGCTCACCAGCCATAAGCCCAGCTCAGGGCTTCTGGCTGAGTAGTGTTCCACCTGTGGGAGCACACTGACCACCAGGGAGCAGCTCCTGCATCAAGCATTTGCCCCTGGTGGTTAGTACGCATCATAGCAACTGGTTGTTCTGCCGTTTGGTCTATTTGCATATTAGCCTTTTTATTTTATAGGCTAGTGCTTGGCCTTCAGGGCACAGAGGCTAGTGGGGTAATCAGATGTTAAACAGATGATAGCATGAAAATGTAATGAGCGGGGAATACAGGACACCATGAGAATATACATTAGGTTTTACTCTGCCTGTCCCTCAGCTGCCCATTGACTGTGAAAGGCTAGGAAATAGGCATGGTTACAATAATGCAAGCTGCTGTTTAAAAAGACATATCCACACATCTGCCGATGAGTGGGTAGTCCTATAGCTCTGTATTAGGGTTACATTTTAAAGAACTGTAGGCATATCTGACCCCTCTTTCACATTTCTCTGAGAAAGGAAAAAAAAAAGGATCAAAGTAGAAACTGTAAATATTGAAACTGGTTAGATCTTTTTCCTCTTTAGGGTACCATTTTGGATGGGAAGAGAACTAACCTGGAAGAATAGCCTGGAACTGATTGACTGAAATGCAAAATTGGGATAATTGTCTTTGATTTTTCACTGCATTAGGCTTTCTCAAGTGGGGTACTCTTGCCATTTTGGATTGTGTAATTCTTGGTTATGGGACTGTCCCGTGGATTGTAAAATGTCAGGAGTATCCTAGCCTCCACCTGCTACATGCCAGGAGCACCCCACCAAGTTGCAACAACCAAAATTGTCTCCAGACTTTGCCACCTGTCCCCTCAGGGGGCAAAACCACCAGTGGTCTAAGTGAAGATGGGAAATGAAACTGTTTCTCTACATTTATTGCGAAGACCCCAGCAAGGAAAAAAATACACCTTTCTTTTTCGTAGTAAGAATTCTAGCTCAGGGAATAGAATTGCAGGTGGACTTGTTAATATATGAGTCACAAAATTCCTCCTTTCGAAATGCTGAAATGAATTTGGACAATTCATTATCAAATTGCACATTATACTTGTTCATGCTCTCGTTAAATCTAGAGATTTTTCTAAACATTGTTGTTTGTGCAGTATTTACCAAAGCTGAGAGAGCCTCGTTTATCTAATTGAAACTTAAAGTTTCCAAATATCACTAGAATGAGATCAGATTTTACAATCGACTTGAAAATAACAAGTGAAGTTATTTTGAGTTGGCTCCATGTTCTTAGCCTGTAAGCTGTTGGATTTGTGTGAGAGGCAAGACCCAGAGGAGATGATTAGTTCTCCACTAGTATGCTGATAATGAATAGCTCTACAAAACCAATTAGCTATAATTCTATCAGTCATTTCATTTGGGTAACGTTCTGTTTAAGGGGAAGGAAAACAGCCCTGTTTTCCTTGGAGAGCTGTAATTAAGCTGTGATGTTTGATGGGAACAATGGCGGGAAAAGCAGTCTGCGTATCCATTTGCTTTTGTTATTCCCACACGAAAGTAAATGATGATGAAGTGCTCTGTTCGTAACAGTTAAGAAAGACATTTGTCCATTTTAAAGGTGGAACAGACCAAATGAGTGTATTTCTAATTCTCCGTTTTGTTTCATACGGATAGCTGCATTGCCACACCCTAGGGATTTTTCCCTTCACATGGAAGACGGTGATGGTGACCCCAGAAGTTGTGTGGGCCGAGACATTCAATGTCATTTTTCTTCCCTGTTAATGTATTTTCTTCCTGAAAAAAAATCTATGTGGATCCAGAACCACATGTAGTAGGGTTTTTCCTTCCAATCACTATTGTTGCTCCATAACCCCCAGTGCCCATTGTCATACTGACGGTCATAGCAATAAACTTCGTTTTCCTTTATCCAGCAAGGCATTTCATAGACTGGTGCTGCTCTATTGAATTTGGACACATGAAAAGTTCTTAATGCATTTTCCTCTCTTTTAAAACAGAAGATATTACTTGATTGTTATCTGAGTATCCTGGGCATTTTGCAAACTTTAATCTTAATGTACACAGTGGAATATGACTTGGATGTGTGTTGTTTTACCTGGAGTTTAATACATGCTGTTTGTGACACACATTAGCTTCATAGAAAAAGTATAGTAAAGGGCCTTTGATTTATGTTGCTCTCTGTCATCCCACAGCTAGCCAAAAAAATCCGAGAGAAGTTCAACCGTTACTTGGATGTGGTCAACCGGAACAAGCAGGTTGTAGAAGCGTCCTATACGGCTCACCTGACCTCTCCCCTCACTGCGATTCAAGACTGCTGTACGATCCCGCCCTCCATGATGGAGTAAGACCTTAATGTTTTTGTTGTTGTTCTTTAAAGCAGGAACTGAACTGTTTTCCATTCATCTTCAAGATACCTGTGTTTGTTTATTGCAATGTACATATATATATATAATATTCCTATCTTAAGTAAGTCCTTTACTATTACAAAGACAAAGCAATCTTTAAAGACTCACTCTTCTATATACAGGGAATTCTTGGACTCTCTGCTCACCTTTTTGCTATGCTGGAATTCAGGTTCAAAAGAATCAAATATTGTTTGAGTGCAGAGTTGACTAAGTCTGGAAAGTTGCAAACATTTTGTCATGCATCAACTAGCAAGTCATGAATAAGGTCATCTTACTGATTCTGGTAATTTGCCTGATTAAAGGAGTGCCTTTCCTCTTTGATAAGAGCAGCAAAAATTCCTACTTATTTTAGTGTCAATGCCACCTTTAAAACACCAGGGGAAATGTGGCTTCAGATGATATTGAAACAGTTTTAGTATTTGTATGGTTGTAGATAGTTTTATTTATTGGGCTATTCGATATGATATTTATATCTGGAAGAGTGTTGTAGGGTCATGTGATGCTGGGAATTGTTTGTGGTGATAAGAACACTCATCTAGAGGTACAAAGAGCTTAATTTTCAATTTGACTTAGCCTTAAATTAGCTGTGATGTTAATCAAGTTACTTAATGTTTATATTTATACGCAGTTTCCTATCAGCGGATAACAATCTTTATTATACCAATTTCCTGGGCTATTTAGAATGTATACAAGGTTTTACCATACTTTAAAAACTATGAGTGGAAATGTTACCATAATTAGTAGATATTATTTCTCTTTTTGCACAGTAAATGTTCATGAGGTTATATAAAGGATGGATACAATATAGTTTTTTAGTGGTTAAATGATGCTTTGTTTCTACAAGCAAGTTTTTACTTATAGTTTCGTGGTGGGCTACATTGGTAGCAGGGCATCCTTCAGATATTTTATTTCTTCATCTGTGTAATATTATCATGAGCCTTCTTTCTGGCTTTCCCTGTCTGTGGCCCAAAGCAGCTCACATTAGTTGTTTAATGGAAAGTGTATACAGTTTGGAACGAGATTACCTGAATATAAATCCTACCTACAGCACATAATATCAGATGGTCTTGTGCATTTGATGTCTTTGGGCCACCCTGTCTTCATCTCTAGTATGGGAACAATAACAAGTTCTTCACATTCAGTGAAGTCAGTGTGAAAATACTTTGTGAACTATAGTGTTCTGAACAAATACTGGTCACGATAGTTATATGTTCCCATTGCATAGTGAACATTTTATTTTTTGCTTACTAGGTTTAATCAAAGGAGATATCCATATGTATGATTGACATCAGTAACGATGTTTTTGACAAATTAATCTCTTATCTAAAAATAAATTTAGGGTCCAGTGGTTTTTGAACTAAAGAAAAAAAATCACTTTTAGGACTTAGAGAAAAGATAATATAGTAAGGAGGAAGCCATTAGAGCTAGAATGATACTTAATCAGTGATTCTCAGTCACCAGAGTTGATTTTTTTTTTTTTTCGGCCCTCAAGGGACACTTGGCAATGTCTGGAAACAGTTGTCATAGTGGGAAGGTGGGGATAGTTGCTACTGGCATCTAGTGATTAGATGCCAGGGCTGTTGCTCAGACCCTATAATGCACAAGATAGCCCCCCCTCCCCGCCCAAACAAAGAATTGCCTGGCTCAAGATGTCATTGGTGCAGAGGTTGAAAAACCCTGGTTTAGAAGATTAGAGAGATCTTCTTCATGGTTTCCTACATGGACCTGTTGCTGTAGATGAACCAAAAAGCTTAAATAGACTAGTTTCTTGGTGAATATGTCTCATTTCTATTACTTACATGTGTCAACTAGTAGGTCATGAGTAAATGTTTCATGAATTTCTATTAATGTTTCCTTTAATGTAGGACTTAAACATATCATGATGCATTGTTGATGGTGAGTCTGCCTCCCCTGCTGTTCTGGGCGGGAATTACACCTCATCCATTTTTACCCCAGCACCTGCCAATTGGGCTTAATTACTATTGGTTGGAATCAGAATTGATTTGAATATGGGGATGAGTAAGGGGATGTCCACTCTCAAATTTAAAAATCGTTGGGTGAAGGGCAAATACTGAACATACTTTGTAGTTAAGACAAAATGTGACCCAGCAGAGAGGTGTGTGGTTCCTCAAAGCAGAGAAATATGCCAAGTGAATGGCATCACAAAAGACTAGACACTTTAGAAGTATGCTTCGTATTTGATCTGGTCATGCTTAGCTGCTTTTGTTCCAGTCCCTCATAAAACAGTTTTATCTGCATTTTATAACGTTTGTAGTATTCTACTGACCACATTTCTCAGTCCTTTTTTTCCTATTTCCAATCCCTCCGAAAATATCTACATTTTTTAATCGTAGGAAGTTCATGTTGGAGTTCAGTGCGAAAAGGAAGACTCCCAGTCTTTGGAAGCAGTATAAGGACATGACTAAAAATATATTTTTTAAATGCCGGGGCACATTTGGTTTTGAGTTATACTTCTTTCACTCATAGTTGACCTTGGGAAGTCACTTCATTCTGAGCTTCAGTTTCTTTATCATTGAGCTAGTACCTGCCTTTCAGGGTTATCTCCTTATCAACGAGATGAAAAGAATGATAGTACCTACCTCCTCTGGAGATGTTTTTAGGTTATAACTTTTAAATTTGATAATTATGTATTTCAATATTATCTTCTATGTCAAGGGATATACTGTTTTTTCTCTTATGGCAACAACACAAGTTTCTTCTTAAAAAATAAATATAATTAATTTAAAAAAAAAAAGAGTTAAGTTAAATAAAAATATTAAGTGAATGTGACCAAAGTTTTGAAGGTGATAGATATGATAATGATTGAAGTTTATTAAAAAATGGACTCAAGATTATTGCTAAAGTCCTCCAATACCTGGCCACATGCACATGTGTTAATACACCTATTACAATAAATATAAGCAGCTGAACTTGAGTTAAAAGATCTTCAGTCTTAGACCTGGATCTTACCCATTTTTTTATTTAGGGGTCGAATAATCATTTTTTAAAACTCAGCGCTGGCCTAGTGGCACTCTACCTACTTTTCACTATCATTTTATGTGCCTGTGGCCTATTGACTTTGATTCTTCTTCAAATGTATTAAAGATAAGCAGATACTAGGGGGGAAAAATGTTCACCCTTTGTTTCATTTACACTGAATTATAGTCAATATTTGGTTTTCCTCTCTAAGGCTTATGTTGCATATTTTAAAAAAATAAATTCCCACCCTGGCTGCATGGCTCAGTTGATTGGAACATTGTTCTGTACACCAAAAAGGTTGCGGGTTCAATTCTCAGCCAAGTCACATACCTAGGTTGTGGGTTTGATCCCCTGTCAGGGTGTGTATGGGAGGGCAACCTATTGATGTTTCTCCCTCACACTGATCTCTCTCTCTCTCTCTCTCTCTCTCTCTCTCTCTCTCTCTCTCAAATCAATATACATACCCTTAGGTGAGGAAATAAATAAATGAATTAACAATAAATACCCAATGCTGAGAAGAGAGAAGCAGTAAAGCATTCTATTACAGGGCATTCTGCAGATTCCACTTTCTTTATACAATACTTTGATGACAACAGTGAGAACCTGCAAAGCAGCAGAAAATCTGATTTTTCAGATGCTTGTGATACTTTCATTCTCAAATTAGTCCTCTTAAACTTCTTATGCAGGAGTCCAGAAGTGGATTATTTTGTTCAGGACCCTGCATGCTGATTAGACACTCCATCGTTATTTGGTGAAGGACTTTTCTGAAGAATTAATTTCTCAATATGGAAAAAAACACATAGGGTAAAGCTTAATCTAAGACAAACTCATTTTTTTGCTATCGCTTAAAATAACATAATTTGGGGGGGGGGAATTCATTTAATTGTGTAATTTATTTAACAGCTCCCTTAGTCTTGTGTTGGGTTAAGGGATGAGGACCTGTGAGATCCTGGGCTCTCCCACCAGAATTGCAGACACCCAAACACATAATCACACTCACGGACCATATCTAGCCTAAAGATACAGTGTTTATTTTGGCCCCATAAGATGTTCTAAAAGTTTTTAGATTTGTAAGATTTAAAAATCTCTTGCCAACATTTAAACTTCGGAAAGTTACACATGTTAAAAATCCAGATTTCTGTTTTCTCTCAACATAGAAGATGGTGTGTCTGCATTCCTTCTGGGGCAATAGCTTCTGTGAAGAGCAGCTCCCCTCGGAAGACCCTCTCCCATTCACCGTGGTTCCCACAGTCCATATTGCATCATACCCAACCCATTCCCCAGACTGCCATTGCCTGCTCAGCCCTCATTAGTCCCTGTGAGTCTGCAGCTCATGATCTAAAAAGACTACATGATGTTAAAAAGTTTGACTTAAGGATAGGTCCGTGGGCATTTTCTTCTTTGTCTATGTAAGCATGCATTTGCATTATCTCACATTTAAAGAATATAGCTCGTGTATGCGTGCATTAAGAATATCTACTTCAGACACCTGGCTTGCCACTGGCATGGGACTTCGCTGTGTGCATCTGAAGCTGTTGTTTAGTCATCAGGCCCTGCCAATCCTCCGCCTTTTACGTATACCAATCAGTTTTGTTTGCCCACATCTGTTAACCCAATCTCTTCCATAGAAGTCCTGCCTAGTGGCCTTTTTACTTTTTTATTTTTGATGTCAATCTTTAAGAAGAAGTGAACAATGGAGAGGGTGAACTAGGGAGGGAATACTGGGAAGAAGCACTTAGGTTTTCTTTTTTATGTTTCCAAGTACAGTGCTATTAACCTCACTCAGTTAATGTTGTTAATTAGTTAATCATGGAACAAATTGGCATAAAGGCATCTAGACTAGGTTTGAGATGACAAAGTGAACATGATGGACCTAGAGTACGTAAGCAACTTGTTTCCAAAGCTCTCTGAAGCCATCCACCTGGAGGCAGTGCTATAATGACTTCTCATATTCACC